TGAGTTACTTTTTTTTCTAATTTATCGATTGACAGCTCTGGTGTTGCCATGGTGACAGAAATCAGAAGATGTTACTGCAGTTCTAAGATAAATATGAATATGCATTAATCTAACTCACAAAAAAAAAAAACACAGATTCAGTATTCCTCAAAATTAATAAAAATAATGCAACTCAGAATATGACGCAAACCTGCAATAATTAAATGTTAAACAACACAAATATCCTTTATGTATTTAATCTCATTCTATCTGCTTCTGACCTTCGATGATCCAGTTCAACCGTACTAATAAGCACAAATTACTCTAGACAAACATTTGTGTGTCTTATTATATTGCTGAAGTGTTGAAATTTCTTCTTCTGCATTCTACTGTACAGACGTAAGTATACATTTCCTTCAGCCTGAGGCTTATTCATTTCACTTTTGGTGTGAAAAGGCTTTTATATTTGCCAAAAATATAACTTTTTTATTTTAAAAACAAAAAAGCAAGCCCTGTCCAGATTTAAAAAGTAACGCAAAAGTAACGTAACGCATTACTTTCCATAAAAAGTAACTAAGCAATGTAATTAGTTACTTTTTCATGGAGTAACGCAATATTGTAACGCATTACTTTTAAAAGTAACTTTCCCCAACACAGCGGGCCGCCACACAGAGAATGAGATCACGACGTCAACCCAACACACTGTGAATGAGTCGATTTCTGTGTTTCTTCATCCAGTCGAGCGGAGCTGGTCTTGCACGAGTGAAGCAGCTGCTAACTGTGATAACTACATTCATAATTATAGAGCTGCTTTAGGAAGATGCTTGGAATTGGCATTAATGAATGCATACAAATACAATCAGTGATCACCAAAGAATAGGCAATCTGAAGTTAAAATGCACAGAAGATGCTAATTGATAGTTTGCACGTGACGTCACGCTCTTACAGGAACGAACACATGGAGGGTCAAACACGGCTCTCCTCCGCCGACCGCCAGTGATTTCTATGAGGACTGCAGTAAGTAGTAATGTAGTAAGACAGTGATATTTAATACAGTACACACCTTATTGATGATGCAGATGAACCCAGAATATAAACGCAATGTGTAAAAGTTTAATATGAAATGTTTTCCCATAGAAAACCATTATAAAGAAGACGCTTAACCATTCAGCGCATTGCGCTCATAAAGCACGCATCATCAATAAGGTGTGTACTGAATTTGATCTTTTAATATCACTGTTTTAACCCCTTAACGGTCAACCCCCATTTTTTAAAATAGGCATTAAAGTGCACTATCCGAACTTAAATTATTATAATTCATGAACATTTTGGAATACAGAGGAAAGGTTGGTCTCTTTTTAAAGACAGTCAGCAGATTATTGCAGAAGTGGAATTATTCCAAAAAATTAAAATATTAATTTATAGAAGTTTAAATTTACTGTAACGAAAATGCACTGTACAATTTTATATAAAATTCATATTTTACATAACAGGTTTTACTCTAAAATTGCTAAAAAAAAAAAAAGTAAAGCCGGCGTGTCTAAAGTTATGTTCCAAATTTGAAGTTGATATGAAAAAATTGAGGTTCCTGAGAGATTTTATTTAGGGCGTTATACCACAAACAGCCACTGGGTGCCATCCAAACGTTGTAGAATTTTTATATGCATTTTTCTGTCACAAAATATGGAATCCTGAGACTCAGACCTTTCCAATGATATGTTTTATGTCAAGATTACAAAAAGTTTTGATTGTAAAAGATTGTAATGCATCTTGTAATATGACACTTGACACCGCCCTCTAAGGGGGCGGAGACCGCCAAAAGATTTTAAAGTACCATTTCCATGGTAACGCAGAGTCCGATTTCAAAATGGTTTTCACAGGATGAATCTTGGGCTTCTATGCTTTCAAACGATACACGATTACTAAAATATTTGATAGAGAAAAAGGAACAAAATAAAAGAGCGCCAAGCGTCTCACAGGTGTGAGGAGCATCTCGTACAGCACAGCAGAGAGACTGACCTGCGGCTCAAAGCCCATGTCGAACATCCGGTCGGCCTCGTCCATCACCACATACGTGACCCTGCGCAGATTAGTCACGCGACCTGAGCAACACAACATCAACACACTTAGGAGAATGAACGCCGCAGACAGCAACATTTACTAGCAGCTCAAAGCAAACAACAGCACGAGCGTTCAGTCACTGATGGAGTCCCTCACGCAGGACTTGCTTAACTTGCGTACCATCCGAGGCTCACGGAGAACCTGTAAAATTCATAAGAGCCACATCATACATTAACTGAGCTGAAGCCGCCTGAAGAGTGACCTATGAAGGAAACATATTAGAGATTACCTCGCATGTGTGGAAACACACGGCACATCCACTCACATCACAGCTCTGAACGGCCCTGCACTGCATTCTGGGGCTTTCGCTCACATTCACGCATTTCATACAGAAGTCTGAAGGCTAAGGATGGCTGCAGGTTCAATACGCTACGAGCAACAGCATCTGAGACAATTCCAGCTTGTCGCTCAGTTTTCTTAACTCGCTAAATTACACTGACAAAAGATAAACCGCTTACCTGCTAACATGAGACTAGAGTAAAGAGTAAAGTAACTTGATAAAGCTGGCCGCTGTGCAACACATGGGAAAATTATGATGACAGGAGCTACATTAGTGACAAACTACTACAAGTCCTAGAAAAAAAAAAAAAAGCCTTATTTAGAAAAGTCAGGGCCTTTCTGAAAACAGGTATTCTGAGCGCATTTTTATATGCAAAAACAAAAAATGCGGCCTTAATGTTTGCACATTCAATTCAATGTATTTGTATTTTAACACATTTTAAGCAGTGCCTTACAAACACCCCGATAGCAAATAAAGGTGACTCTGTACATTTTAGATCTGAAGCCGATGCAATTATGTGCTGCATTATATTTATATTGTTGTTTTAGAAAGATGCTCGAATACATTTGCATTAACCCACACATGCATGGCATAGGTCATAAAGAGTAGCATTTAAAAATGGAATATCGTAAAAAGCGAGCGCTCATTCAAATGCGGTATTTCGCCTGCATATACGAATATATATGCAGGTATATATACCCTGCATATTGATAGCGGCTCCCTGATGTGAGAAAATAATATACAATATTAGAATGTTTGCGGGAGCGGGACACACACGTTGCGGGAGTGGGCAGTAATGGTAAGAAATTCAGCCGGAGCAGGCTTAAGAAAACTGTCCCCAAGGCTCTAGGCTGCGCATCAAACAGGTGTTGGGTTTTATTCCGCAGATATGAAGCAGAGCAATAAAGACGATCAGGATGAGACTCACCGATGGGTCCTTCTGCCTCTCCCAGCGGCCGCTGGTCTAAGATGTGGCGAAACATGGGCAGCAGGAAGGCGATGGTCTTTCCACTTCCTGTTTTAGCGATGCCGATGAGGTCGCGTCCCGACATGATGGCTGGGATGGCCTGGGCCTGGATCGGGGTCGGCTTCTCATAGTTGTGTCTTGAAAAGAGACAGAGAGCAATAACAGAAACATTCGTTCTGTCTGGTGAACGTCTTGAACACGCTCTACTCACTTCTTCATCGCGTTCAGCACTTTCATGGATATCCCACACTGCACCCACGTCTTGATGGGCTTCGGACAGCCTTTGCCTTTGACAGTGATTCCCTCCAGCTCCAGACGGTACTCGTTCACCTCTGAGCAAACACATCCGTGATCAGACAGAGCTGTTATCCTGAGCTGATGAGAGGATCTCCTGAATAAGGGCTGAGGTGTGTGCTGTACCTTCAGGGCTCATCCTAAACAGCTCTGGCACCTCCACATAGAAGTTCTTGCGGAAGGATTCGTACTCGATCTTCTGATGATCAACCGGCTCCAGAACTTTCCTCTGTTTGGTCTGAAAGCCTGTGAGGGCCGTCTGCAAGTCCACTTCCTCTTCCTCTGATGAATACTACACACACGCACACACACAAACGAGCATTTAAAAATGGAATATCGTAAAAATGCACAGATTCTGATAGAGAGGTTTCTAACACTACTAAAGATAAATTAGATGTTTAATGAGATACATAGCATGAATAAAGTGCAGTTAAGCTAGAATTTAAGTTTTTTTTTTTTTTATTCATTTTAGTTTCAGCTTATTTATTTTAGTACATTAAGATAAACTAAATGATCATGTTATCTAGTGTAAATAAAACAAGTTAAAGTTTTTTTGTTACATTTATTTCAACTAACGAAATTAAGTTTATGGATTTGGTTTTAGTGAAGTCTAATAACCCTGTGCCACAGATGCTGAACCCGGAACCTTCCTTCTCAGAGAACATGAAGCTGATGAAATCCAGCACAAACTCATGAGGCACGTACCGTTGTTAGCACCGAGCATGTCGATCATGCGTCCCGGAGTGCACACGATGATCTCTGCCCATTGTTTTTTTTCCCAATTGACGGAAATCCGTCGTAGCGACGGAAAACTTTAATCCCTGCATAAACAACATTTTTTTCACATTTAATTCAAGCACTTTCAAGGACCTATGTTTGTTTTCAAGTACTTTCCAGGCCTTGAATCCATAAGTCTGAAATTCAAGTACTTTCAAGAAGCGTGGGAACCCTGATGAAATAATGTCATACGTGTTGACCAAAGGGTCATAATCGGTCCTAGATTTAGACAGGGATCATGTGTTTGTGGAGTTTTTCTGCTGATTAAGGGAGAATACGAGACTCACCGATGGGTCCTTCTGCCTCTCCCAGCGGCCGCTGGTCTAAGATGTGGCGAAACATGGGCAGCAGGAAGGCGATGGTCTTTCCACTTCCTGTTTTAGCGATGCCGATGAGGTCGCGTCCCGACATGATGGCTGGGATGGCCTGGGCCTGGATCGGGGTCGGCTTCTCATAGTTGTGTCTTGAAAAGAGACAGAGAGCAATAACACAAACATTCGTTCTGTCTGGTGAACGTCTTGAACACGCTCTACTCACTTCTTCATTGCGTTCAGCACTTTCATGGATATCCCACACTGCACCCACGTCTTGATGGGCTTCGGACAGCCTTTGCCTTTGACAGTGATTCCCTCCAGCTCCAGACGGTACTCGTTCACCTCTGAGCAAACACATCCGTGATCAGACAGAGCTGTTATCCTGAGCTGATGAGAGGATCTCCTGAATAAGGGCTGAGGTGTGTGCTGTACCTTCAGGGCTCATCCTAAACAGCTCTGGCACCTCCACATAGAAGTTCTTGCGGAAGGATTCGTACTCGATCTTCTGATGATCAACCGGCTCCAGAACTTTCCTCTGTTTGGTCTGAAAGCCTGTGAGGGCCGTCTGCAAGTCCACTTCCTCTTCCTCTGATGAATACTACACACACGCACACACACAAACACACACACACACACACACACACAGAGACACACA